TGCTATATTTGTACAATTCTAACGAGCTTGAAAGTCAATATTTGGATTTTGAAGGATTCAAAGCCAGCCATTCAAAACAGTGCTAACCACTGCAGCACCATGCTACACTAAACCTATATAAATTTGAGAAATCGGATAAGCTGGATTTGTGTACTTTGTTGCCTCTGCATCACTGACAGTCCTGGTTGTTGTTAATAGATTTTAAGCTTATCCTTCTATATACCATTGTAGCCGGTGAAATATTGCTGAAAAGGTTTAAATTTCTGTGGACTTGGCATAGATGTTTGCTTGATTAGACAGATCAACTAATTAGATTTTGATGATCGAGGATCACACTCACTCTGTTCATAACTCTAGAATAAAGTCCTAATTATGACAGTACACAGTGTTTAACAGGGTAAATGATTAGGCGATTACATTTATATCTAAAAGGTCACATTGACTATGACATCATAATGTCCTGAAAAAAACATGGTGAAACTTGAATGGTGGTAGATGAATTCTTCAGCAAGGCACAAGGCTAGTTTTGTCATCATGTCCATTGCACTCGAGTAGAGCAAAGGTGAAAATGCCCAGGGTCACCTTTTTTTAATCTTTATTTCTGCACATTGCACCTCACCTCAGGGGTCATGTGGTGTTAAAACCTCATACCAATCCAATCTGCATTAACTCTCAGGGGCTTCCAAGATCAATACTCCCTCTGCTCTTCCAACCTTTCCCCCATTTCTTTCCACCTAAAATTTCCTTAACCTACCCTGTTTTGTTTTTGTTTGTTTTTTTTTCTTCCTACACCCCATCCTACCTGAAATAAACCCTATACATTTAGAAAATTATTTGCAATTTTGCAAAATATTTTTTTAGGCATCCTGTTTTCAAAATTTGCTACATTGCCATGTTATGTATCATCTCACAGCTGATTAAAATGTGACCAGATATCAAATTTGGGTAACCCTTTTTCAGGCCCCGGCCTTTAGGAAACCAGAGCGCAACACAAAAATAAACTACGTTTTATAAACCTTATCTGTTCCTACCACTTCCTGTTATCACACAGCCAATAAGAAGATTCACTCATATTGATCCTGGTCTTGACTGTGTCCATGAAATTGATTGAAATTGACTGCAAAAGCCGGTTTTCCAAAGAACTGACAACATCAATTTGTTTCTGCCTTGACTGAAATACCATTTAAGTTGCAAAAAATTTGAATTTCTTAAGTATCTGAGCATTACAGAACCAGTGGTTCCTAATTGCTATCCTACTTCTTTGCAAATCAGATGATAATGTATTCCAGCTCTTTCATGAAGTGGACTAGTGAGAACCTACTGGGATAGCCAACGATCTTGCCTTCTATCAGACTTGCTGCATTTTCAGATCTCACATTCTTTCCCATGAAACATTGATTGGTTCTTACATTTGATATGTAAGCTGGAGGAGAAATGTTTTTTGCATAACCTTTTTGTTCTTTCAGTGGAATTCCTTCATCTTTATGCAACAAATTTGTTCTCTTTGTGTATAAAGTGCGATTCAAAGCGCTACTGATGATTGTGATTCATGCATTCATGATAGAATGAATAAGCTGCACTTCCACAAAGGTCCGAAACACTCCCAGAAAATATAAAATTTGGTGTTGAAATACCAAACAAGTATTTATTTTAATTTATTATCTGAAAGTTCTCAGATGTGTTTGTTTACATCTTCAGGTGAGGCAGTTGCAGCAGGCGATGCCCTTTGCGAGATTGAGACTGACAAGGCTGTGGTTACCATGGAATCTAATGATGACGGCGTCTTGGCGAAGATATTGGTGAGTGAGCAAAAACGCACATGGTGCTGTTCTGACAGAGATTATTAGAAATGTGAATTTATTTACAAAGAGCAGGCATTCTTGGGCCTTGGGTACTTTTTTCTTAGATAAGTTATTAAGTGGAAGGTCTGAGGATGTGTTTAGATGTGTGTGCAGTTCTTAACCCTTAAGAGCCCAGACCTATTTCTACTTTCATGAAAATTACGGGGGTCTTATATCAAATGAATCATATATAACCAAGTCTCTAAGTGTAAAGAGGCAGTGACACCAGTGTCACTGTGGGTCCTTAAGGGTTAATGTTATGTTACGGAATCATTTAAATAACGCAGGATATCATCATCTTTCAAGGCTCCTTCATTGATTTTGCTAATTGGCAGTGCTTGTTAAATAGCTTCCTCTTTCCAGTGACAGCAAAGCTTTGACAAGGTGCCTTTACTGGCAAATATTTCTTTCTTTCCATCCCCCAAGTCTGCTAGCTGTTTGAATTTTTAAAAGGCTGTCAAAGACCAAGCAATCAGTTGTCTTTCATCAGTACTACACCACATGTTTTTTTTTTTCTCTAAGAATGATGAAAATATTTTATCTCTATTGCTTTATTAATACATATTTGTGATTTAATGACTTTGTGCAAGGGGAATCTGAGGTAATTTCCTTATAATTTCATCAAGATTTGCCTTAATTTAAAAAAGAAAATAGGAATAGCGGTTGGGTATTTTCTGTGTACGTTCCTGTAAATGCACAAAAGCCAAAATATTCTTTCATGTCACAAAGAGTGCCTTATGTAATTATTATACAACATGTTCTCTGGCTATGTAATTTTGGACATGCTGAAGTTGTAATGACGCTTGGGAGCAAGAGGGTTCAATAAGGCTATGTGTTTGAAACCACAACAAAAACAAATATGCAGCCAGTTCTCGCAAGCAGATGTACTCACAAATATACACACAGATATACTGACAATTCAGAGTATACGATACACTAATTTTTTAGTTAGAAATATATTTATGTTTTCATTTGGTTGCACTTTTTCACATTCACTTACTCCATCCTTGTCTTAGCCACTGTGGGGATGAAGTAGTTTCCATAGCAACCATCGAAGAATTGGGGGTAGGGGCTTTAGCTGGCGGAGAAAGATGGTCTACATTAGATAAGCCCCCAAGCTTTCGTTCTCTCAGTCTGTGACAAAGAACATGTGTATTGGAAAAACCAGCAGACTTTGGTGCCGTTTCAGAGATTTGAATTTTCCTCTTACATGACAAAAAAATATGGCACTTTGTCAGGGTCAGAGTGCATTAGCGCCTTAGAAGTGTAATTGTGGCTCTCCAAACACACAGTGGGTTTCTAATTCATAGACTTCAATAATTACCTGCAGCTGGTGCAATCCTGTACGGACTAAAGCAGACATGAAACTTGTGCACCACAGGGTTTATTTATGGGGGTCAAGTACTGCTATGGCACACTACCAATTTCCAACCATCAGCCATGGATCCTGCTCGTGATATTGAACACTAGCACCGTGGATTACTGCATCTTATTAAGCGCTTACTGCTTTGCTCTACCCTGACCCTCGCACTTCAATCCTAAACTCAGTCAAGCGTACAATGACCCATCGACTCGTGAACTAACAAATATTTTCGAAGATAAATTCATGTTGGTCCCCTGCGTTCAGCAAATTGAAATAAAAGAGGCCTTGTCTAGAAATTAATTAAAAGGTGACAGATGGTATTTAAAAGTTGATTAGTTGGTGATTAAGACCAAAAGTAAATTGCAGGAAAGATTTAGAGGAAGATTCATAAATCATTGAATTGATAAGGATGTCCAAACATTCTGCAGCGCTAACCTGTCAAGTTTGTCATTTATCATCCCTCCACATGTGTGATTTTATGTGAAAGAGCTTACATTGGACTGTCAGTCTGTTTGATAAGTTGAAAGATATAACTGCCATCCTCTTTTTACATTATCTATCATGCTCTATTGATCAGGAGCAAACCTTGCCTTACTAACTAAACAAGACTGTCTCATTTTCTCTGTTTTTGTGTTCCTTTTCCAAGTAAACTGCTCATACACTGTATAATCAGAGGGTCCTTCTGAGCTTTGTGTTCATCTTCTTCTGTACACTGTGTATGCCAGTATAGCCTATAACAATTTAAAAACAGACCTGAAATGGTTGTTATCAGGTAACGTATGTAAAACGTCGTACAGGTATAGCATCCAACAACTGTTATTTTGAGATTATTGTCAATAAGCTGTTGAAAGTCTCAAAGGGCTTGTATTGTTGTATAAAAACATTATGTTGAAAGTTGAGCCTCATAAATGGTCTGGTTTTGTAATATCTTTAGCCGTGCTGAAGGTTTCATGAGAGGTCTCTTAAGGGCTCTATGTAAAATTTATACCTTTTTTCACCGGGCAGTAAAAATAGTGAGTGTCTGCAAAATCCTAAATTGCTGCATCATTGTAAGCTGTAGACATTATTGCCACGTGCTTCACTTTTTTTCCGCAGATAGCCTACTTTGTTTTTTACACAGGTGCCACGCAAAAGAGAAGTAAAAGAAGAAAAATAGCCTGGATAATAAAACTTGATTTGTGATATTGGGGATAAAACGTATACATGTAAGTGCACTCTCACAGCTGTGAGAAACCTCCCTGTGGCAATTATGCAATCTCTACTAGTAGAAACTGTCACAGTCGCATTAGATTCAAATGACTTACCTGACAGGCTCTTTAAGCTTCAAATAATGGTGCAGATTGCAATAAATTTTCCATCTGGGACATGAGAGTTATACAAAGTGATTTATTAAATATGGTTATTCCCAAATGTGGTCTGAAATAAAAATATATGCATGCCTCCAAATATGTGTGATAGAAAAATTAGCCACAAAATAACTGTCCATGCCTGACCACTGCAACTTTCCATACCATCTCTTTAATAAGTCACAACAGCAGTGTTTCTTTGATTGCAGAGATTTGTGGGTGATAAAGATGACATGAGGATATAAAAGCAGCAAAGATTTAGAATTTAACTTGCTTTCAGTGGAGATGGATTTTTTTTCGGTTACCTTAACTTTATGTAGATCAGGTTAGAAACATAATTTGCACTTCCCATAGGTTTTGGTGTTCCGTAACTATTTGATGGCAGTGTTGAGTGCTACACCACCGCAGTGCACGAAGCACCTGTTTATGCAAATATCTATAATGCCTGCTGTGGACATTGCATGTGATTTTAACTTCAAAGATCCACTTAAGTGCTTTGGCAATGGTAGTATTTTATGTGTGTGCGTGCACATGATACACTGTAACACTATTACTGATTATTAGCGCTTGAATGCTATCAGCAGTGCTGGTTGTGTGCTTCTGCATAATGTAAAATTGAAATAAATATTAAGCAGCATTTACTATCACTTAAGAAATTATTTGTGTCGGTTGACATAGGGGAGTTGGTGGACTGGTTACAAAACAGCATTAAATCCATAGCCAACTACCACAGAACTGTTGTACTAGACTGCAAATCTTCACCTGCTGATGTGTTTCCTAGAACACAGTTTCAATCTGTGACACACACAAGAATTTTAGGTGGGTTATCCAAATGAATGAATGAATGAATTTGTGTTTCTGTCTTGATACATTATGTTCTTTTATTTGGCCTACACATTGTAAGTTGTGTGTTTTGTTTGCATGGAAAAATCCTTTTCATGATTGAAGATGAATATCTGTGGAAATTTGCAGAACAACATATTTATTGGAAAACCTCTTTACATATTACCTCATCTTTCACCTCCCACTGGCCAGAAAGGGCACTGTGGGGTCACTAAATATGAAGAATAAGTCACGCATAGGCTTAATGCACACTTATATAATGCCAAAAAAAAACATTTTTAACCTGTCATTTAAGGATTATGTTTTCCTTTAAAACTTTGTTTTAAATGAAACTTTAATGTTTTACCATATGGGGCAGATTAGTAGATGTGAGTTAATATTACTTTTTTTTTCTTCTTAATCCTACTTTGATTTTGCAAGCCTAAAGGAGAGGGGTGGATTATGTTTACAATGTTGGCATTATGATCATAGATTGCATTATTTAATTATTATAATTTTTAATTATTTTCTTTAATGACTATTTATTGTTCATCTTTCTTTTTTGCATTTGGTCAGGTTTTTGTTTTCCCTTAACTTACCCGTGGTCTTGTTGGATATTTAAGTACAACAACATAGGTAGTTGTTCATCCTCCTGATTGTCCTCCTCATCAAATTGTGCTACATGTTTAGGGGCAGCTCAATAAGGACATATGGTTTGAAATGAGATCCAATGCAGTAGTTGAGCACACTATGTTAAGCTTTGGCCTTTCATTTATACTGATCAATATGTGAGGAACAACACCTTACACAGGCGCGGGAGAGTAGGAAAAAGCTTGCTCTGGATTTGGATTACTTCATAAGAACATGGTAAATCAGTGGTTGACAGCTTTGATGTCCCTTTATCTATTTCAAAATAGCCCTTCACCTGTGTTCTAGCAGTCTCCGCTGTAATTATGAAATTATTGAACCAATTTTATTAGTACACCTCTCTCTCTACAGATGGAAGAGGGTAGTCGCAACGTGCGCCTTGGCACTCTCATTGCTGTCATGGTGGAGGAAGGGCAGGACTGGAAACAAGTAGAGATCCCCTCTTCAGATGCTGCACCTCCATCTGAAGCTACACCTGCTACAAAAGCAGTTGCTACCTCGGTTGTGACCTCTTCTGCTCCCTCTCCACCTTCTGCACCAAAACCAGTCGCATCAGGACAGTGAGTGTCACTTTCATGTTTTTGTTTTTTTGTTTGTTTGTTTTGCTTAATCAAATGACATCTGTCAAATATTTAGTTTAATAAATCTGATGTAGAGTCCATAGACCTTTATTCACTCTACAGAACAATCCTTTTTAACCCCTATTGGTTACATGACAAGTTTTTCCATGCGCTCAATGTGCTTACACAGTAGGCCATTGTGGTTTCTAGCACTCCAGTTTGATGAAGAGTAGATAAAGTGATTCCGTAACCTTAAGATACATAATGAATGAATGAATGAGGTTATCTTTTCTTGTTTAGAGCACATTGTGCTGGTTGGATTGGATTTTGCAGTATCTACCACCATGTAATATGCTGAATGAGATTATCTATTTCTGTTCACATTTCAGAATGTCCCTATTTACACAATAAATACTGTTGTAAAAGGCAAAGGAACCACTCCCTGACAAACGGAACTTGTTTTGCAAACATTTTTTGCTGAGCACATTCTCATATTCAGATTTGTACTTTGGTAACATCACTGTGGCAGGGCCAAAAGGTCAAGCATGGATATGCTGTGCAGAAGTCTTGTCTAGAGTGGAAAACAAGATTGACAGTTAAAGACTTTTTTATGCATTATTTTTTTCAGTATAAATATTTTTAGATGTGAAGATTTTTTTTTTTATTTATTTCACTAAAGTTATCGTGTACATTGTTGCACTAGTTAAGTGAACCATATAACTGACTGTGTCTATAGAGCCCAAACGGTATTATGTATTAGCTGATACATCAGTATTGGCTGATACATGAACAAGTAAAAAGTAAAAAAAAAAATATGGGGAAAAACATAATTCGGTCGTCATATTACTGGTGATCTTCCATAGTTTATCCACCAGATGGGACTCTACAAATTCCCTGTTGGCAGCACACGTCTGTATGCAGAAACAGAACAACCAGCTCTTTTGAGCAGAGCGCGCTCAGGCACTCATGAATAACTGGACGTAATAAATGTTAGAGAAATTTCTTTATCTGTTCATGTTTTCGTGCTAGAAACGAAAAAACATTGAATGATATGTCAGAAGAAAGATGTTAAATTACACTAGTCTTTATAGTTAAGCAATGGAGTTCAGTGTCACCACATGGTATTGGGTAAGCTGTCCCATGTAAAACTCATTTGAAGTTTCTCTGCAACCACCTTGAAGCTACCAGATGAGGTCTTTGAAACTACAAGTTTTGCCACTCTCTCGTTTTCTTTTCCAGGTTACGTCTGAGCCCAGCAGCACGACACATTCTGGACACTCATGGTTTGGATCCAAAACTGGCCACACCCACAGGCCCTAGAGGAATAATCACAAAAGAGTAAGTACCTAAATGACACAAGTTGTTGGGGGTTTTTTTTGTTTGTTTGTTTGTTTTTTCACTTAACTGGCTTAACTTTCTTTTGTCTTTTTCTTTTGTTTTTTGCAAGATATATCATGCTTAAGGCAAGCATATGGGATATATACCTTCCTATAATAATAAACATCTGTGCATCAGTTACGCTGGAGGTTGTAAAAAGTGCAAACAAGCTGTCAGGCTTATTTATGGTGGCAAATTTAAGACTTTTTTTTTTCTTATTTTTGTTGAAGGTTCCAACACTATAGGCTATGACTGAATGTAATGTCATATGTCACACAACACCCTTATAGCTTATGTTTTAATCTTTGACTTACGGTTGTTTGAGTGTTTGCACACAAACCTTGAGATGGCCAATGATTATTATGTTTGCTAAAATCTCTATAGATTCAGATGCTAGACATAATCATATGCAGGTCAGTCTGAAAGGTCAAGAGTTTAAAGTAAAATGATCAGTCTCAGTTGTTGCATGCACTGTACTCTGTTTATGCTGTAAGTGGTGTATAAGCTTAAAAAGGATTGTTTGGTATGGTAATCAGTCACCATAATATTGCAGAATCTCTAAAGGAAGGAGATGTTAGAAGAACAGGTCAATGTGGACAGTAATGTTGGAGAAATTTCTCTAACATGGTTTGAAATATCAGGTATTTAAATCTTCATGCAACAGAAAGTGGCAAACAGACAAGGATCTAATGGCTACCTGCTGTCAGTGGGGACTTGATTGAATGCTCTCGTTACCCAACTAACACCCTGCTGAGGGATCTCATTAAGAAACTTCTGTTGCCATAGCAACCCAGTCTCTGGGACACACTGGTGACCATAGAAACACAGACCATATGCTTTCAAGGGTGTGTATGTGTTAGACTGTAAGGGAAGTATGCATGAAGTCTTTTAAACTAAATGCTGTAAAGAATGATTACTCCTAGAACTAGGGTGGGTTTTTCTTTTCTCATAAGATAATCCTTCTTATAATTTCACCACTGTGATTTACATTAAATGTTTTCAACATGTCACCAATTTTATTAACAAGTGAGTTTAAGGCTGCAAGAAAGCCTAGAAAACCTGTTAGGCACTTGTTTTGATTTAGCAATCCCATTCTGTAGATGTACATCTTGATCGCAAACTAAAAATCATATGTAAATGTTTCTTAACAACAAACAAGCAAGTACGATATGCTGTTCTACACTAGGTACATTTAGATATGTATTTTTAATACAAAGCTACATTAATTTTCTAGGTTATAAGCATAAACATGCTGGGTGCTTTGCATGTCAACATTTCAAGGTTTTAAATTGTTCGATTAGTGATGCAGTTTTAATTATACTTCATGTGGTTGCTCAGAGACCTCTTCTTTAAACCTTCAGCTGGGCTCCAGATTTGCTTGAACGCTTTGGCAGAATATTCACTTGATGAAACTTAAGCTGATCCTCAGAAAGGAAAGGCTGAGGCTGAAAACATATCAAAGGAAGAGGGAGTCTTTTAATTAAAAATTAAAAGGCTAACCATCCCTCTGTTATTGAACAATGTGCTCTTCAAAGAGCAACCAAAAAATCAAAGCAAACAAGCAAAAAGCTACAAATACAAAGCTTTATTTCTAAGGCATTACCTAGCTGGTATCTACTAAAACTCTGCAGGCAAGGCTGTCACTGCCAGGGGTGATACAAAATATTGGTACAGAGGCGTACTATGTTGTTTACTTAGTGATAATATCAGTAAAAGCTTGGGAGGCCCGGCCAGTTTGACTTACCAGACTTACAATTTCCCTACTCATTGTCGTGGGATTTACCAGCTAGAGGAAATGTTTAACAAGTGGTTTCTTTGCTTGTGTTTTTAGCCCTTTACTTCCCACCAGTGACTTGTTTGGTTGGAGCAATATCACAGAAAGGCATATTCCAAGTATTTGGTATACATTTAGGAAACGAATAAATATTTAGGGAGACTAAAACCAAATCTTCTCATATCACTTTGACATAAGCTTTGTACTTTCTTGAGTAAAAACAGACACAAATTCGCATTCAATTTCAGTGCTAGCCGGCTGTGACGTAGAACGTAGAGCACGTTGTGTAACTGTCAGAAAGTCGGTGTGTTGGCAATATATTCTGCACGAGTTTCCCGTGATGTATCCATTAAAGCGTGAGTGTGTGAATGTTAGCTTAAAACGCACTTTTTAGAAAAAATTGATTGTGTGTGTGAACAGGTAATTAAGGCGTATAGTAAGAAAGCACTTTGAGTGCTGAAATAGATTAGAAAAGTACTGTGTAAGTACTGGTCAATAATCAATAGCAGAGCTTTAAAACAGAAAGTGTAAAGACAAATGCATTTTTCACCATTTTTTTCACCATTGTCATTAACAACGATTGACTCGTCCAATGCTGTGACAGCTAATTAAAAACCAGCACAAGCTGTGTTTGCTATATTTTCACAACAGGAATATATTAACCCTGTGATAATCCAGGGGAGATATCATTTATGTTCATTTTGATTGCATTAGTGAAAAGGATAGCCAGTAATTCTGAAACTTTCGCATTGCTGTGCATTTGAAGTATCTTTAGTTTAGGAGGCCTATGCTTTTAAATTTAACCCCTTTTTGATCTTGTTAACACCTAGATGTAAATCTACACCATTTTTGTTACACCCCGAATTGTAAACAGTATTCTAAACAATAATATTGTTGTTTTATTTCTGAGTTTTGTAGTGGAAATGTGCTGTTTAATGTGTGCTTCTGCACTGATGTTATTTTTAAAGCTGAAAGCATTAAGAAAACGCTAGTCAGACTGCACTACACTACACTCTTTTTGTAATACATCATTTTAATTCCCTCTGAATTTAAAAGCATTGATTTCTTTTTGTTTGTTTATTTTAAATTCATGATCCCTGCAGTGTGTTCACACTTGTCTTTTCATGCGTGCATGTGAGTGCTGCTTCTGTGCCTTTTTAATATTCTGGTCACCTTCTCCTAGTCTTTCCACAGCTCCTTTTCCTTGGCTGTCAGTAAGGATATAAATGGTTGGTCTGAAAAAGGCATGGCAGAAAGCCACATTAA